TCACCCTGCTCAAACAGAGGTTTCCACATCCTCCCTGAGGGTTCTCCTTGATTCGGGGATCGGGGCCGTCCCACCCTGCCCCACGCTCCCGTCCTCTTCCCCCTCGGGCCTTGAGCGCTGTGTGTCGGGTCAGGGAAAATTTAATAAAATTCTGGGATTCGAACCCCCGGTCCCGAACGAGTCGCCCCTCGCGCGTCGTGTCCATCAAGACCTTCGGCGTCAGCAGCAAGTAGAGTGTTCCCCCTCTTCATCCCGGCCGTGACTGTCTTCCCATCTCGCCTGGGCTGGCCTGGGCCTGCCTGGCCCTGCGGGGCGCGCTTTCCCTCCCATATTCGCTCCCCATTTCGGGCAGGCCGGAAGTCAGCCTCGCTTTTCACATCCCCTTCCCGCCTTCCCGCGCGCCACTCATCGCCTTGAGCCTCTTTCACACCTAGCGCCTTCCTCCCCCCCCCCTAGGGATGCGAAGGCGGTAAATTACCCGGTAAACTTACGGTAAATTACGGTAAATAACCGTAATTTACCGAAGAACCAAAAAAATTGGTAATTAACGGTAAAATTCGAATATTATCGGATTTTGAAAAATAACTTTCAATTCCCCATATTAATGATAAAACGCTTATTTAGAAACGCTCAAGCACATTTCTGAAATGGGTGACGCACTTAGGTGACGCATTAAGGTAAGAAAACCTTTCTACACACCTATTAAAGGGATCTTGCAAACGGCTGTAGATACGTAGTGTCGGCGACACTATTTATCAGCGTCAAAAGTCACTCAACGAAGCGTTTTTTATATTGTACATTGATCTTCAAGAGGAAAATGTTTTTAATGTTTGAACACTTGAACACTCCGCGGCATGTCCCTTACTCTAAGGGATATTTCGCGGCCCTTTGACAAGAGAAATGTCCCTATCCATAGGGACTGGCTATTTCATGGGGACCGTCCCCATACCAAGGGGGCCCCGAAATATCCCTTTAGTTAGGGACGTTGGTGATTTTTTTCCCCCTTTGGGGGTGTTTCTTTTTAACTTCTCAATAGATTTTAAACATTTTTTTGACCCAAGGGAAACCCCTGCTGACTACTTAGTTTCAACAAAAACACTAAAATATAGCACACCATTTACATGAAACGAATTTTTCCGTTTTTTACCAAAATTACCGGTAATTTACGGTAATTTACCGTTTTTTACGAATTTTGAAAATTACCGGTAATTTTGCACCCCTACCCCCCCCCCTCCTTCTTTTTTTCTTTTCTTCTTTTTTTCTTCTTCTTTTTTTTCCCCCTCCTCCCCCCTCCTCCTCCTCCTCCTGGGTTTTCCCCCCTCCCCCTCCTCCTCCTCCTCCTCGCCCTCCTTCTCCCCTCCTCTCCCCTCCCCCCCCCCCTCCTCCTCCCCCTCCTCCTCCTCCTCCTCCTCCCCTCCCCTCCTCCTCCTCCTCCTCCTCCTCCTCCTCCCCCTCCTCCTCCTCGGTCCTCCTTCTCTCCTCGTCGTGTCGTGCCGCATCAATCAGCACTTTACACCGCCCCTGGTGCGCGGCTGGGGGTGTAGGGAGAGAGAGGGAGAGAGGTAGTTGGCATTGTTCCGACCATATGTCACTCCGCCGGTATGCACCGCGCATAACACAACGACGACTCTTTCCCCCGCGCCCACACCTGCGCGTGTCTGCGTGGGGCAAGAGTGTGTGTGCGTGTCGGTGTGTGTGCGTGTGAGCGCGCGCGGTGGCAGTGTGCGTGCGTGCGGTCGCGTCCATCTCCGCACGTCAGAAAGGCCTGTGCCGGGGCAGCCTCAGTAATTCCCAAGGACGCGTGTGGCGGTGGCTGCTGCCTTGCCACTGCTCCTCCAGCAGGCACGGCACGGCAAGGAGTGCGTGCTCGCGTAGGGGGCGGGTTCAACTCCCGGCGGGGCCACGCGTGTTCTCCTCTTTTCTCCCCGTGCGGTAAAGCTACACTAGGTGCGCGGTCTTCGTCGTCGTCGCACGCAGACTCGATTGCTTTTTCCCGGGTCATAAATACGCCAGGCGCTATAAAACGCTAACGCGGCGCTGGGAGTCGATCCCGGGTCTCGCTGATGAGGCCGTCGTCTCGGAGGTGTGGCCGCCGAGGCCGCCGAGGCCGCACGCCGACACAAAGTTTGCATGCAAAATGCGGCGCGCTCGGCTCCGCTTCGAGATGGGATGGGCTCTCTGCTCTCCATTCTGGCGATTCGGCCACGCTGTCTGGCGGCTGCGACGGCCCCACCCCGCCCCACCCCACCCCACCCCGCCACACCCCGCCCCGCCACAACCCGCCACGCCTCGGCACCTTCGCCGTCTCGATGGGGGCTTTGGCTAACTGCTGGAGCGCGACGCGCCACGTCGCGCCGCGGCGCGCCCACGCCGTCAGCAGTCTGAGTCTGACGCTCCGCAGCGTGTTCGCTGCCTCGCTCGCACCGCGGGCTGTTCCGTGTGGGTGGGACAGAGACAGAGTGCGGGATTCACCAGGGCGTGACGTCACAACAATCAAAAGGACATCCTCCGACTCTCTTTTTCTCGCGCGCGACTGTCTCTTCTCAGTCCCCCCTCCCCTTTCCCTGCCAGCCACCTCGCCTGATGGAATGACACTGAGAGATGAAGACGAAAACAAAGGCGTAATGGGGACTAGTCGAGGGGCGTCGAATAAAAATTCGCCGCGGGCTTCTCCCCCCCCCCCTACCCCCGCACCATGCTCCTGTATTATTGTCATTAGAATAATTGTGCGGCCGCCATGTTTTGTTCCTTTCAGGCCGCGCTGCCGCCACGCCACGCCCCGCCACGCCCCGCTGCCTCGCTTCATTTCGCTCACCTTTGTTTCAGATTAGATGCGCGCCGCTCGCTGCCTTTGTGGTCTGTCTCTCTCGCACCCTCGTGCCTCGTGAGAGCGAGAGACCTGCCAGTCGGAAGCGGTAGTGCCGAGGGTGGTGCGGCTCCGGGTCGCTGCAGCCTGAACCGCGAACCCGTTCAGAGGAGCAAGCAGAGCCAGCCTCTCGACGGCCTTGGCCTGCGGCCCTTGGCCGGGGCTTCCAGGAACATTTCTCCAGCTGAAGAGCATAATTTCTCCAGGCGAAGAGTATTTCTCCAGCCGAAAGCATTTCTCCAGCGGAGGAGCATTCTCCAGCCGAAGAGCATTTATCCAGCGGATGAGCATTCTCCAGCCGAAGAGCATTTCTCCAGCCGAAGAGCATTTCTCCAGCCGAAGAGCATTTCTCCAGCGGAGGATCATTCTCCAGCCGAAGAGCATTTCTCCAGCGGAGGAGCATTCTCCAGCCGAAGAGCATTTCTCCAGCGGAGGAGCATTCTCCAGCCAAAGAGCATTTCTCCAGCCGAAGAGCATTTCTCCAGGCGAAGAGCATTCCTCCAGCCCTTGTCGATTTGCCGGACGAGTGCGAAGGGAGTGGGGAAAGGGGGCCGTGTCGACCCGGTCCGCGCCCGAGCGCCACACTGATGACGTTTCGACGCCTCTCTGCTGATTTGGCGCCGGAAACGCCGCCAGCGTCGCAGTGGTAATGCGGAACTAGGCAGATAGGCTGCGCGTAAATACCCCCCGTAATGGTTGCCCTGGCGGCGCGGCGGTGCGGGGAAATACCCCATCCAAAGGCCATCAGCCGCCCGGCCGCCAGCCCGCCTTATCTGCCGTCGGACCATCTCCGCAGAGGGATTGCCACCTTCAAAGTGGCCGTCCGTCTCAGCAGCGGCAGCAGCGCCAGGGGGAGGGGAGCCCTGGTGGACCGGGACGGCGGGGGGAGGGGCGGGGGAGCGGCGGCAAGAAAAACAGACAAGATGAAAATCCTTGAAGGCGTTCACAAGGGCGGGCTGGTTCTCCCTCTTTGTGCGCCTCCACACGCACGCACACATATTCACTTACTCTCCACACAGACACGCGCGGCCCGCGGGGGGCGCAGGCCATCTCTCTCGTCCTCTCTCTCAGTCACTCTCTCTCATACAGACACAAACACACACACACGACGTGAAGGCACCCTTCCTACCCCCGCACGTCAAGCAACGAAAATATTTACGCCAGCAGCGTGCGAAAAAGTAAACTAGCTTTCCCGGGATGGATCGAGCTGCAGCTAAACGCTCCCCCTCTCCCCCGTTCCCCTCCAAAGCCCCGTACCCCTACTCACTCACTCGGTTCCCTGCTGCCGCGTTTCGAATCTTCCCGCCAACTCCTTTTCTTCATTCCTTTTTCGGGCACCTGCACCTCCTTCCTCCGCCTCGGCAGCGACTGCAGCTCCATCTGGCGCGGCGGTCCGGAAAATTAAAATCGGGGAAACAAGTTGTTGTTGGGAAGGTCCGCGCGCTCTCTCTCCTTCCTCCTTTTCTTCCTCTCTTCTCCTCCTCCTCCCCCGCGGTCGGACGCGCTCAGGGGTCTTTCCCTGGGAGGCCGAGTGGCGCGTGGCGGGGCGCCGGTCGAGCAGTGCAGGCGAGCATGTGTCGGGCCCGAAAGGGCATACGATCATGTGTGGTCTAGCCCTTAATGGTAATGGTACGGGGGTCGACCATCCCGCCGCGCACGCCAGCCGGGCGCGTTGCCTATCCCGCTCTCTGCGGGCGCTTTCTCCCTCCCTCCCTCCCTCCCTCCCTCCCTCCCTCCCTCCCTCCCTCCCTCCCTCCCTCCCCCCCCTCCCTCCCTCCCTCCCTCCCTCCCTCCCTCCCTCTCCTCCCTCCCTCCCTCCCTCCCTCCCTCCCTCCCTCCCTCCTCCCTCCCTCCCTCCCTCCCTCCCTCCCTCCCTCCCTCCCTCCCTCCCTCCCTCCCTCCCTCTCTCCCTCCCTCCCTCCCTCCCTCCCTCGCTCCGCTCGCCCGTTATGTTCAATCAGCTGTTATTTTCGCCACCTTGGCATTGGCGCGCCTTGTTTGGCCTTCCCTTTGTTTTCTCCCCTGTTGGTTTTCGTGTCTCTGTCGACAAAAATTTCTTTCATTTTTCGCCCCGGGCCTCTTGTTTTGCGTGTGGGGACGGAAAAAGCCGGCGGACGGAAAGAAAATCGGTACGTGAAATTACCATCATCTTTATTTCTCAACCTAATTTAATTACACAGTAGCTTTTATATTACAACACTTTAATAATAATAATCTTTATTCATTATTCACAAATAGACATTTAGTATTGACATTCACTGAGAAGGGAAGACTATAAGAGGGCCGCCCTGGCCAACGCCCGCGCACTGGCGAGTCCACCGGGCCGTGCCGGGCCGCACTAAGGAATGAGAAAGAGACACTATCACAAGTCCGGCCTACTGCGCCTCTGCGCCACTGCACACGGCGTGGTCGCGTCACTGCATCATGTAGTTGGGGTTGTCCAGCCCCAGCACGGTGGGGCCGCGTCGGCCGCCGATCCGGACGTCGAGCGGGTGCCTGCCCTGGGGCTGCAGGCGGTTCCTGCCGGGCTGGCCGGGCTGGCGCGCGGACCGGGCGGGCGCCACCACCACCTGCTGCTCGCCGAACTCGCCGAACAGGGACAGCTTGGAGTTGGGCCGCGGCGCGCTGCAGGCGTGCAGGCCGGGCTGGACGGTGGCGGTCTGCGCGGGCTGCGCCTGCAGCAGTGTGTCGGCCGTGGAGGGCGCGGGGTCGGCGCACACGATGGGCGGCAGCGCGGCGTGCGGCCGCGGCTCCAGCACCAGCCTGCGCGGCAGCTCCGGCGCCGGGATCTTGTGCACGGGGACGTCGGCCGCGCCGTCGGCCGTGGTCCACACGGCCGCGTGGGACTGCATGGGCCGCATGGGCACGCAGTGGGCGATGTGGTCCGCGCACAACCGGTGTTGCAGAGGCAGGCTCCACACGATGGGCTTGTAGCGGCGCCACGGCCACGCCACCTCGGCGGCCATGTTGCGCAGGTAGCGGCACAGCCCCACCAGGAATACGGCCAGCAGGATGGACACGAGCCCCGCGGCGATGGCGAAGTACACGGCCACGCCCACGTCCACGTGGCGCGGCGGCAGCGTGTTGGCCCCCGTGTACGAGTCGGCCTGGATGCCGCCCGAGGCCAGCGCGGCCAGCGCCTCCTGGTGCTCGCTGGGGATGGTGATGAAGCGCAGCACGTGGTACTCCTCGCCGGACAGCTCGAGCAGGGTGGCGTTGGTGTCGGCCAGCATGTGCAGCGGTGCCTCCTCGTTGTCCTTGGGCCGCGAGAAGATGGTCACGTTCACCATGAGCAGCGGCTTGAACTCGACGCGGTTGACGCGCAGGTCGTTGTACTCGACGGACAGGCGCGCCGCCAGGTTCAGCTTGAGGTACTTGGCGAAGTCCTTCTGGCGCAGGCGCACCGTGGTGGCGTTGCCGGTGAGCAGCAGCAGGTACCACCGCGCCACGGACTTCTGCTGCTGCAGCTGCTGCTCCGCGTCGTCCTGCTCGTCCTCGGGCACGTAGTGGTTCACCTCGTGCACGTTCGTGTCCTCCAGGTCGGCGGGATGGTTCTGCTCCCTGGCGCGCTCCTCCAGCTCTCGCTCGCGCTCCTGGCTGTCCACGTCGTAGTTGCGGTACAGGCCGAGGGAGGGCGCTGCCGGCGCCGACATCGAGGACGTGGAGGACGAGGCCAGCGAGGCCTCGCCGTCGTCCTGGCCCGCCAGGCGGCTGCCGATGAGCCACGGCCCGTTGTGCTGCTTCGCCCTGTACATGTCCTCGTCGAGAACCTCGTTCTGCTGCACGTCGTCGTCCGGGAGAACGCCGCCCGTCTCGTCGTCCTCGTGGTGCGGCGGCGCGGGCGGCGCGGGCGGCGCGGTGGTGGACGCCACCGGCGTGGCCGACCAAGCTGCGGCGTCCTCCGGCTGCCGGAGGTCGATATTGAGCGCTCCCGTCTCCGTGCTCTCCTCCACCTCGATCTCCAGCAAGGACCCCGTCGTGCTGGCCGAGGCCGCCGTGCTGGCCGTGTCCGAGGCCACGCTGGTGGAGACGGGCGCGGGTTCGCTGCTCGCTTCGGGCGTCGGCGGGTCCTCGGCAGCCGTTTTTTGTGACGTCACGTCCGCCTTGGCACTGACTGTCCCGAGCGCGTCTGGCGTGGTTTGCCTTGTTGGCGAAGGCTTGTCGGTGGTCGGCCCGGGAGTCTTGAGCTTATCAGTAATTGTTTTTGCTGTGGCCTCGTCGGTTTTGGGATGGGCGGTCTTCAGCTTGTCGGCAGTAGTTGTCGCGGCAGGCACGTCTGTGTTAGAACTGACAGTGTCCGTCTCGGTGGTTCCTTCCAGTGTGGTCGCGCTGCTCTTGCCGGCCGTCTGCCGCGCGTCCGTGGTCTCACAGGGATGTCCGGAGGGAACCGTTGTCGTGTGTTCGCTCTGCCTCTCGCTCGTCAGCGCGCTCGATGCCGTGGACCTGATTGTCGCATCGGTCGCACTCGCCTGCTTGGTCGTCTGTTCAGTGGCCTTGCCTTCGTTCGTCGTGGACCCATGAGTGTCGGCGCTTATTGTCGTCCAGTCTGTCTGCGTGCTCGCAGCCTGCGCTGTCTGCGCGGTGGTCGGGCCGACGGGGCTAGATGGCCGGTCTGTCTGCGTGCTGGCAGACTGCTGTCCGCTCGCCGCCTGCTCGGCGGTCAGGCCGACGGTACTGGCTGGCCGCTGGTCGTGCGAGGTTGCAGCAGAGGGAAGACCTGCGCAACACAAAGACCCCTCTCGTTAACGACATGCCCGACAAGTGTGATGGGCGGGCGATGAAGTGCAACAAGGCTTACCTGGCGGCCGAGGCGTCGGGGAGGCCTCGTCGGGAGAGGGGCTGTGGGGCAGCACGGTGTGGGGCAGCACGGCGGCCACCATCACCAGCAGCAGGAACAGCGGCGCCAGCAGCACGCCTGCAACACGAAGCGCCAAAACACGTTAGAACGGCCGAGGAACGGACGGACGCGCAGCGGCGCGGTGCTCTCTGCAAAGCGGACAGAAAGAAAGGACGAGACAAAGAGAGTCTTTGAGGGGACAGCTCCCCTCCGCCTCCGAGTCCTTGGAGCGGGGTCGTCCCACCGCGCCCCGCCGCGCCCCGCCGCGCCCCGCCGCGCCGCAGATGTCGGCCCTTTGCGGATCAGGCCGAGCTCGCCGAGCTGGCGAAGCAGGCCGAGCGGGGCAAGCGGGGCAAGCTGCTGGAATAGGATGTGGTCGGGCCGTCTTATCGCGCGGGGCGGGTTGGGGTGGCCAGCCTAGGGCCAGCCTAAGGCCAGCCGGGGCCTGGGCGACTAGTGGCCCTCACATTCCCCGCCCCGCCCCGCCCAGCCTGGCAGTGACGGACACCACTCCAAGCTGGGCGCGGCGCAGTCCGTCCAAGGCGGGGCGGGGCGAGGCGGGGTCCGCACGAGTGCGTGATAAATCTGAAAGCGGGCGAGCGGCGTGCCGTGCCGTGCAGCGCAGTCTTTCGCCGCGCAGAGATTCCCCCGCGCTTTTTCCGCCCGACTTACCGAGAGAGACACATCGCGGCGCGCGGCGGGTCGGAAGGGAAGACCAGTTTAGGCGGACACGACTGCCTGCACTTCGTCACGCGGACTCCCATCCAACACGCGAGGGTTCCAACGGACTGGACCGCCCTTCGAAGGAGGAATCCATTGGTACTGTTACTGTAAACCCTCACGCGTTTGATCGGAGCCCTATTTTCGGAGCGAGACAACGCCAGCGCGGTGCCGCACAGTGGGCCAGAAGACCGGTGGAGGCGGCCAAAACTCGAGACGCGTTTCGAGCTCCAGAGTCGCTAAACAGGGCTCCAACCGAGCGTGTGACCCCATCAATGGATTCCTCGTTCGAAGAGCAAGGTGGGGTCACACGTTCGGTTCGAGTCCCATTTAGCGACTCTGGAGCTCAAAACGCGTCTTGAGTTTTGTCCGCCTCCAATGGTCTTCTAGCCCACTGTGTGCCCCGCCGCGACCTCTCTCTCCCTCTCCTCCGCCGCGCCGCTTGGCGCTGGAGCCGCCAGAGCGCGCTGCGCTGCGGTCTGAGCTTCCATTAGTTGGGATCAGTTAAGCCCCCTCGGCCTATCTGATCCGGCTCGGGTGGCGCCGCGGCCTCGGCTGGCCTCGGCCTCGCCGGGCGGTGAATGGGGTGTGACATATACGCTGACGTCACGGCCACGGCAGCCACGGCCCCCACAAAGCAGGGCCTCGGCCCCGGCCCCGGCCCCGCGGTCTGGCGGCCCGTCGTCGCCGCGGCCCTTGTTATGGGCTAGCTGTCCTCGGCGGCGCTGCGGCGCTTCGCCCGGGCCGTCGACGGGGCGCTCGCTTTGTGGAGGGCAGGCCGCTCTGTCTCCCTCGCACCCACGCGGCGGTCCCTGGGGGTGCGAGGGAGACAGCCTGCGCGTCGTCACTGGATGGTCGGGATGTTGGCGGGATTTACGCGTGGGATATTTATATTTATGGCCGCCGCTGCTGCCTGTGCGGCGCGGTGCGGCTGCAGGTCCCCGCCGGTGCGGCCGGTCCCCGGCGGCGCCGCGATGGCCCGGCGATGGCCCTCCGAAGCGCACTTAAGAGGCCTAAGTCGCGCCCGGGCCGCCCGCCGACCAAGGCTCGCCAAGGCAGGGCCAAGCAGGGTGGCGTGGCCCACTGAGAAATTGATGGTCATTATGTGGTTTGTTGTGGAGTTGAGCGCGCGCCCGGGGCGGCGGCCCGGGGCGGCTCGGGGCCCGCGCCGTGGTCATGGCCCCCCCGGCAGCAGTTAAGGCGGCGACCTTATCGTCGAGGAGGCACTGCAAGGCCTGCGAGGAATCCGGGTCGGGGAGTGCCTTCCCTGCGCGCACCTAGCCTCCTGCACCCGAAGTTCGTCGCCTTCTAGACCTTCTAAGCCTTCTAGTGGCGTCGCGCGGCCAGCACTTCGTTACAACACTTTTCCCTGCAATTAAGCGCCTCGCGAGACGCGGGAGTTTGGTTTGTTATTGCGGCGCCAACAGCCTCCAACTCCAGCAAGGCAGCAAAGCCACACTGTCACTTCCGTTCGCCGCGGCGGCGGCCTCGATGCCTTGATGACCGCGGCCAGATCCACTCGGTGCTTTCGGCGACAGCGGCCCCGCCCCGCCCCGCCCTTTCGGCGCCTGTTCGGGTGCGTCACTCGGCGTGACACGGTCGCCATTCGTCAGGGACACAACTTTTCCCCGAGAAAATCAATTTCGCTTCTCCTTCCTTCCCCCCTTTTGTCCCGTTTGTCCTTTTTGTCCTTTCAGTCCGCGGCTCCGCGGCCGTCGGGCTGCCGTCGTCGGGCCGCCAAGTGAACACGCGGCGAGATGGGATTGGCCAAGTTTGGCCGCCTTTGGCCGCGCGGCGCCGGCAGCGCGCAGCCCTTCGGCGGCACGGCGGCCCGGCCAGTCCTTCCGTCGCGCTGTCTCTCTCGCACCTAGACGAGGCACTCCATCAGTGGGAGAGAGACAGCGACGAAAGCGAGTTCGGAATCGCTCTGCTGGTGGCCCTGCTGCCCTGCCCGCTGTATAGAGCAATCAGGCAGCAGTTTGGGCGGGGCAGCGGGGCAGCCTCATTCACGGCCGGGCCGGGCCGGGCCAGGCAAAGCCGGGAGGCAGTTCTTATTGGGGCAGTCAGTCATTGTGGCGACGGCGACGGGCCCACGGGGCTCGGGCCACGGGGCGCGGGGCCAGGGCGGCGACAGCGAGGGGGTGAGGGCAGGGGGCGCCTATGGGGACGGCCTGCGCACCGTGTTGGTTGGTGCTGGCAGCCCGTTGTCATCGGGGCGAGGCAGAGACCGCCTCGTCGAATCGACGGTCATCACAGCTGCAGCTCGATTCCAAACAGTGCCCCGTCGCTCTGTCTCTCTCGCAACCCTATGCGCGATGCCCCACGAGTGCGAGAGAGACAGAGCGACAGGCTTGCCGGCGGTGCAAACAGCCTCGAAGAGGCGGCCTCGGACTCGGCGCACAGTGGGCCAGAAGACCGGTGGCGGCGGCCAAAACTCTAGACGCGTTTTGAGCTCCAGAGTCGCTAAATGGGACTCGAACCGAACGTGTGACCCCACCAATAGATTGCTCTCAGAACGAGGAATCCATTGGTGGGGTCACACGTTCGGTTCGAGGCCTGTGTACTGACTCTGGAGCTCAAAACGCGTCTAGAGTTTTGGCCGCCTCCACCGGTCTTCTGGCCCACTGTGCGGCGTCGTTGCGGTGCGAGGCGAGGCGGCGAGGCTGGGCGAGGCCGCCGACTCCATTACCATGTCTCATTGTCAATCCGGGCGGCGGCCCCATGCAGGCTCGTTCCGAAAGGCGTTCCCGTCGCTCGGTCTCCCTCGCACTCATAGGGCCCGCCTTGCAGCCGCGAGAGAGACAGAGCGACGAAAACAACTGCCGGTCCGGGCCGGCGCCTTGGCACGCCTTGCTTGAGCCTCGAGCCGCCACCGCACCGCGGCGCCACCGGCCGAGCCACGCCCTAATCTGGCTAAATTCTTTTTGTTGCGCTTCCTCCCCCCTTTCCCCCTCCCCCCTTCCCCCCGCAGACGCTGGCCAGGCCGCCTGCTATTGGCAGGTGCGTGATATAGTGTCTCCCTGTTGCAGCAGAAACTGGGCCGGCCCGAGCCCACCCTATTTTCGCTCTCGGCGCGCGAAAAACACGCGAGGAGCGGCGCAGCGGCGCCAGTGTGCCGGAGCACCCCGAGCACGCCGAGCACCCCGAGCGAGCGGAGCGCGGAGCACGCCACTTACTGCACCTCAGATTCAGTTTGCATTCTGGCGGGAACGTCCTCATCCCACGTGGGCGGCGGGGCGGGGCGGGGCGGGCGGGGCGGGGCGCAGCGACAGCGTTTAGCGCGTTTAGCGGGCAAAGTTTGCTAATTTCAAATCGTTTGCATTTCATTCCCAGGGTCCTTGGCCCCTTCCATTTCAACTTCGTCGCCGAGCGGGGAGAGAGAGGGGGAAGGGGGGGGGGGAAGAGGGCAGCCTGGAACGCGCGTGGGCGCAGACGGACGGGGTGCGTGTTGTGTCGGCGTGTCTCACTCGCACCTCATGAGTTGCGAAAGGGATAGAGGAAGAGACCTGCCGCTCGGAATGGGGTCGAGAAGGCGGCCGAGCGATTCCGAAGCAGTGTTTCGTCGCTCTGTCTCTCTCGCACCCTCCGGGACGCCGCATGAGTGCGAGAGAGACAGAGCGACGACACGACTCTAGGCCGCGTGCAGCCGGAGCGAGCCGAAGCGAGCCCGAGGGTCCATCGCGTTAATTTTAATCCAACGCAGCGCTGTATTATTGAGGGCAAGGTCTTTACCGTCGTTGGTTAATGGTAATGCGCGCGTGCAATAGGCGTAGGTGTTAATCCGCACGCCTCGCCCCGTCCCTCCCCTTCTGGGCCGCGTGCCGTGCCGCGCGTGCAGCGCGTGGAAGGGGATTACAAGTTGGGGCCGCATCCCGGCCGAGGGGGGGGGGCATCAGCTGCTCCCCGCCATGTCCTTCGGCATGTCCCTCGGCCTTGGCTCGGTTCAGCTCGGCTAGGCTCGGCGGGCTCGGCCTGCCCTACCCACTAATGGTGACTTAGAGAGGTCACTGCCTGCCGCCTGCCTGGACCGCCTGGACCCCTGGACCGCCCCCCACCCCCGAGGGCCGCCCCCCGCCCCCCGGCCTGGCCTGGCTTGCCCAAGGGCCCCGGCCCTATTCTGGCAGGATAGTAGTTTTTCGGTGGGGTGGGAGGGAAGGGGATGCAGCTGGGCATGAGAAAGGATCCCGCAGGACCCCTCGCTGATTCAAGGACGGTGGGGTGTGGAAGGGGAAGGGGGTAGGCTGGCCGTGGCTGGCCGTGGTCAGGGCGGGTTAGTCGTGTTATCTCCGGCCGGGGTCCGCCAGGCCGCCAGGCGCGTACTCTGTTAAAAACCGGCCGAGAGCCCAAGAGGGCCCGGC